ATTAACACGGGAGATGCCGCACCCCTGCGCCAAAACACATATAGAATGAGCCCAATGGAAAAAGGGCACATTCAACAAGCGGTGCAGGAGATGCTGCGGGCCGACATAATTTCTCCATCCTCGAGTCCCTGGGGGGCACCGGTGGTCCTAGTCAAGAAGTCAGACGGGTCACTGAGATTCTGTGTGGACTTCCGACGCCTCAATGCCGTCACGCTAGCCGACGCATATCCCCTACCACGTATTGACGACTCATTGGATGCACTGGCGGGAGCAAAATTTTTCAGTACGCTGGATTTATTGTCCGGGTTCTGGCAGGTCCCACTAGACGCGGACTCCCGGCCTAAAACAGCGTTCCGGACACCACAGGGCCTGTTCGAGTTCAACTGCCTGCCTATGGGCCTCCAGACTGCGCCGGCGACGTTCCAACGCATAATGGAGTTGGCCTTAGCAGGCCTCCAATGGGAAACGTGCCTCATCTACCTGGATGACGTCATTGTCTTCAGCCGATCATTCGAGGAACACATTGACCGATTACGTCAGGTATTCCTGCGGTTCCGGAACGCGAACTTGAAGCTCAAGCCGTCGAAGTGCCACCTTATGCAGTCGTCGGTACGCTACTTGGGCCACGTCGTCAGTGAGTCTGGAGTGGCTACAGACCCGGAAAAGACGGCCTGCGTGAGGGCCTGGGCTGTTCCCACAACGGTTCCAGAGGTACGCCGGTTTGTGGGTTTCGTTTCTTATTACCGCCGGTTCGTACCCAACTTCGCAACCATTGCCAAGCCCTTGCACGTGTTGACGGCGAAGAACCAGAGGTTTTATTGGGGCCCTCTGGAGGAAGAGGCATTCCAGCAGCTGCGCTCACGTCTGACAGATGCACCACCATTGGCCTTTCCGGATTTTGGCCTCCCCTTTATCCTGGACACGGACGCCAGCGATGTGGGCATCGGCAGTGTTTTGTCGCAAGTCCAGCAGGGTCGCGAGGTGGTTATCGCCTATGGTAGTCGCGTGCTTTCATCAGCGGAGCAGCGCTACTGCGTCACACGTAGGGAACTCCTGGCAGTTGTTCACTTCGTGCAGCAATTTCGACCCTACCTGTATGGTCGCAAATTTACGGTCCGCACTGACCACGCGGCCTTGCAGTATTCGCTCCGCATCGACCAGCCTTCGGGCCAGCTGGCCAGATGGATAGAGCGCCTGCAGGAGTACAGGTACCAAGTAGTGCATCGCAAAGGGACCAGACATGCCAACGCAGACGCATTGTCCCGACTGGCGCCCCAGGGCCCTTGTGCATGCACCACAGGCGGGGCACGCTGCAAGGAGGCGAGGCCGGAGGGGACAGTCATCGCTCCCGTACGCACGGCGGAGGACGCACAGGGTGAGGTCCAGCTGACCGACCACGACCTGGGGCTGACCTTGGACGATTGGCGACGGCTACAGCTGGAGGAAGCCCCACTGCGAACGCTACGCGCCTCAGCAGAGGCAGGGGGGGAGGAGTACATCGTATGGGAGGACCTCCTCATGCGATGGGACCCGACAGGGCGCCGACGATGCCTGGTAGTTCCGGAGTCGCTGCGTCAACAATTGGTTATGGACGTACACGGCCGCCAGCTGCTGCACCTGGCGGGGCGGAAGACACTGTACACATTACAGAGTCGGTACTTTTGGCCAGGTATGACCGCTGACGTGCATCGATGGGTCGCTACCTGCGTCGAATGTGCGCGGCGAAAGCCGCCACCCCGGGTAAGCCGGGCGCCCCTACAGCCCATCACGGTGACCAGGGTCAACGAATTGGTTGCGTTGGACATCCTGGGACCACTGCCGGTCACGCCACGGGGAAATAAATACCTGTTGGTCGGAGTCGAGTACTGCACGAGGTGGCCGATGGCGTGGGCCCTCCCGGACCAAACGGCACAGACCATCGCCGATGCCTTCGTGGGAGGCTATGTCCTTGATAAGGGGGCACCGGAGCGGTTGCTCACGGATCAGGGCAGGAATTTCTCCTCACAGCTATTGAAGGACGTCTGCTCTATCCTGGGCACTAAAAAGGTCCGAACATCTCCGTATCATCCCCAGACCGATGGGATGGTAGAGCGGCTTAACCGCACCATAGCGGCCATGCTGTCCCAAGTGGTGGACGAAAACCATTCCGACTGGGACCTCCACATTCCATCTGTCTTAGCGGCGTACAGGGTGGCCCCACACGCGGCAACGGGGTTCTCGCCGTTTTTCCTGATGTACGGACGGGATCCCGTTCCGCCTATTGAGGTGCAGCTGACGGACATTCCCGCAAGAGCCGACGCATGGCCGAAGGCACTAAAGACCTCCCTCATTTATTTGAGAGAGGCCCGCCAAGCAGCCGAGGCCGCATCGGCCACGAGCCAAGAGAGTAATGTACGGATACGGGAGAGGACAGTGACAGCCAAGCCCTTCAAAGTCGGGGACCAGGCATGGCTACACTGTCCTCAGGTGCCGGTTGGCCTCTCACCAAAGCTGCACCGACCCTGGAAAGGGCCGGTCGAGGTCATTAAAGCACTCCGACCGCAGTGCGTCCAGGTCCAACTGGGTAAGCGACGATGGTTTGTACACCCCACCCGCCTTAAGCCATACATCTCTCCACCGTCATCTTCACCAACATCACCACCAACATCACTGCCAACATCATCATCATCCCTACCCAGGCCAAGGTCGCCGACCACCACGCGCCGACCGGCAGGGGGTTCGGTGCCCTGTGTTCCCTTGTCACCTACAGCACCCCATGTGAGGCCTGACAGAGCGGCGGCACGAGCGGGGGCCGGAGAGACAGCGGCGCCAGGCAAGGCGACACCGGCACCACCGAACCAGGGACCGCGACGAGAGGGCCTTCGAAGGAGGGGGCCGCCACGGTCATCTGCTGCCTGTGGATGTCCGGGCTGTTACGGGATGCTGGCTGGAGACCTGGGCAGGCCGCGCAATTGATTTCGTTGTGTTATGTTGCATTGTATGGTTGTGGGGGGGGGGGGGTAAGGGCTGTCGTCACTGTCAGTGGTGGGAGGCATGGGGAGATTTAAATGGTCCATGGGGGAGGCAGAACCGAGGACGGTTATTTTTTCTCCGGGGGGGGGGGGGGTGATGTAGGGGTGTCAGGGGAAGGATTCCCACCAATAGAGGGGTTAGTGGGAGGGGTGATCGAAGAGATATAAGGAGAGAACGGGCGGGAAGAAGGGGCCTTTGGCGGGAACGAGATTGGGACGGCTGGGGACAGGTGTGGATGGAAGGAAAGGAATAAAGGACGAGACCCCTGCAATCTGGTGTCGGCTCCTACTTTACACTAGGATCCAAATGTTGCTCAGTGATCGACTCACCGACCCTTTGGAAGCAATGCAATGGGTGCCACTGAGAGGAAACTCGACAACGGACAGGGCGGTGAAGCCAACTCGCAGTGAGTGATAAATACCTTTAGTTTAACACGCAGCAGTAGGCTTTTGCGACCAATATCATCCATAATGTAGGGTTTTTTTTTTTGGGGTTAGATCGCGTAAAAAAATGTGTCGTTAAACCCGCCACCACCAGACACAGCCAATTAGTAAGGTTTGTCACGAGAACAGAACGTGCCAATTCGTCACTAGTACAGCACACCGGTGTGTTGGAGAGCAAATCCACAACATTTATAATCTGAGCGCGAAATCCCTTTCCTCGTCCCAGCTCCCCGAGAGGAAATAAGCAACGTGCTACGTTCGTGTGAGCGATGTTACAGGGGGGGGGGGGGGTGATCCATGTGTAGCCACCCCACCGATGTCTAAACGCACCGCCTCTTTCTCAACAGATTGCCTGCATGGTGTGAAATCATGGCTGTAAGTTCATCAACTTTTGGAGCAAAGAAACATGTTTTAGTAAGTGTATTGAGCTCGACTGAAGGCATGTCGAGGCTTTTAAATAAATTGTATATTTGTTTCCTGTACGAAGTATCAATGAATGGATTCGCCTGTATAGTGATGCATACGGAGTTCTGCATAGTTGTTATCAAAGGTGGCGGCTTGACATTTAAAGCGGTGTAATTATTCCTCGCACTTAAGTTTAATTGCATCTCACTGGCAAAAACTGTAATTAATATATCCTGCTTCGCTCAACAGCGCAACACACGTGGCTCGCAGCGGCTGGCGGAGCTGACCAAACATCGGGGTGCTGCTGCTGCTGCTACGCGCGCGGTCTCTACCGGGCACATGGAGGGGCATGGCTGGAGCCGTGGCTCCCCTCTTCGATCTGCCGCTGCGTGGGGACGTTAATACTGGTAGGAACCACCTGGTTCCACCAGCCCACAGGGGATTATTGTGTCCGTCCGTCCGTCGTGCATCAAAAAATGGGAGGGGTCGGGCTGGGTGGAGAGGGGAGGGTGGGGAGAGGCTGGGTGGGGAGAGGCTGGTCACCCCGTGGTGCCCTTATAAAATTCAACATTTAACCTAATCACGCCGGCTTGTGCCCGCCCTCACAGTCGGGCATATTTGCGGTATATACCACGCCGCCGTTGACCCTGGCCATTGACCGAGCAACCCAACGTTCCTACCAGCTCCTTCCGCAGGAATGTGTTTAAATACCACCAGACTCCTATCCACAGCCACAAATGATGGGGCGAGAGTGTGGGCACTCCCCCTCTCTTCCATCCCAGACGTCCAAGCGGCACGCAAGAGTGGGTCACAAACACCATCTGGAGTGGCTCCCTCGAGCCTCTCACAGTCGAGGTCCGACTGCCAGCAGCGGCGTGAGAAAGTAATTGCAGGGCTGCGCCTTGACATGCTTCCTGCGTAAACATTGCCCATTATTCGCCTTTCCAATACTGCAGCTCCACCTGGCTGAGCCAGCGTTGAACTGTGAGCATCGACTCAATGTCCGGGGTAGGGTTGAGGGCTCACCCGAGACCACAAGCTCTCTCTCTCCTCCATGTGTGGATAAACTTTGCTCGCAAATACTGGAGGCAGTCGTCGTCTCACTCACTAAACACACTGCCCAGTGACAGTCTCACTCACCAGACACACTTGCAGCCGCCACTCGCTGCACCACCGCCTTCATTGCTCTGTCAATGCCCGCCGTTCAGAGCCTCTCCGCCTCGGTGCTCAACCCGTGATGCCTCAATTGTCTTCGATTGCCACGAGGACCCAGCTCGGATCATTCACCAGGCGCCCGCCGGCCCGACACGACGACTACGACTACCGAGAGCTCCGCTGTACAGTGAGGAAGAGATGCCAGGTTGGCTGTGGAATGGCAAACACGTGGAGCGAGCGAGACGTCGCCACGTGGGCCCGCACCGCCATCTGCTGGCCCACGTGGGCAGTGCGATCTTACATTTTGATTTAAAGCTTTCGTGACTGCAGGGATTCATATTATTGGTTCTTTCGGTAAAGTCACGTAGAAGGGAAACAATACAATAATAAAAATATAAAACAATAAAATTCTCAAGAGAATGTTATTGTTTCCTTTCTACGTGACTTTACCGAAAGAACCAAGAATATAGTGCAATCTTAGCAATTTTTAACGACTATATTTTATTTATTTTACTAGATAAGGGGCCATTCATTGAGTAGGTACCCAAAAAATCTGTCAAAACTTGACCCCTCCACCCTCCCTGTAGGTATACGCGGGCTTTTTACACCCCCCCCCCTACCTGCGTACGTTCGCCTGACGTACCACCCCCCCCCCCCCCGAATCTTATAGAACGGCCGATATTTAATCCACGCATAAATGATCACGGATTAATAATATTCACGTGTTGAAGCAAACAGATAGTCCACCGCCGGACGATCTAACGCATTTGAAGGCCAATGTAGACAAATTATTATCGAGACTTTACCGAAAGACCCAAAAATATGCATACTCACAGTGTGGCAAGACAATGTTGCATCCACATATCCAAACCAACGAGGGTTTAATGTACTTGAAGCTCGTGTTGTTGCTTCCAAGTTTTTCGTGTACAGATTCGAAATAGCAGATTTATATTTACGAAATCTAACCTAAAAACCTTTATGGCGCCGTCCATAAATGAGGTCTGCCACCTAGAGGGGGCGGGGGGGGTCAGACATTTGTGACGATGTGTGACGAGGGGGGGAGGGGGGGTTTGAGAAATTTGACTTCACATCAAAATGCGCAACTTTAAATAAATATTAATTAAATATAATTGTTGTAACGCAAATTTTTATTTTCATTATTAACTATTTGATTATTTACATTTATGAAGGTAACTCTTTATTTATTCCATGAAGGAGCATTTTGCTTCTCCATGGGAGAATGGAGAAGCATGCATTTTGTAAATAATTGTTATTGAACATTTTTATTTTAATGATTCTACCAGGGCTTTTCATTCTGTGGAATGAATATGTGATTGTTATAATTGTACTCTCCATTTTGCTTCGTTCTACTACAAACATTTTTTTATAGTTATAGTTTTTGTTATAATTATAATTTTTTTATAGTTATAATTACTTTTAATATTTTATAATTATAAGATAATTTCAATATAATATTCTGAACATCTGCAGTTTTAGTAAGACGTTGAATATTTTCAAGTGAATTTTATGCTAAATTTCAGCTTTCCAATATCAGAGTGCAGCGCCACATTAAATAGGCACTACAATGACAATAGTTTAAAGTTATTTGAAGCATGTTTTATTTTAAAGATGGAAATATGGTTTTGGGGGGGGGGGGGGCAGAGCTTTGTGACGTCATATTTGAGGGGGGTCTGACTTTTTGTGAATCGCGCGATGAAGGGCCATTGGGATTGTGAGAGATGGTGGGTAGCTTGGAGAGGTCTTCATCCAGCAGTATCTTGATAATGGCTGATGGTGAAACTAATACCGATGAACCGTCCCGGCCCACACCCTTGGAGTGTTCATTTCTGAAAGTCCACGGCGCACTATGTGGCCAGAGCCTCAAGCGGTTACGGTTGTTGTTGTATTGACAAGCGCAGCTGATAGTGACACGTGGAAGACAAATCGACAGACGGACGGACCTTGTCTCCAACGAGTGATCCAATAGGTGCAAAACAGTCGTTACACTGGACGATGGCACACGGCCTCAAGAAATAAATACGTCCAAACGATGACCCTGAGTATGTGAATGTGTAATACTATACAGCTGCAGGCCCGATGAACGAATCGTCCGCCAGGATTCGGGTTGCCACCTGTCCAGGTTTGACGCGGACAATTCTGGAATTGGCATCGGAGCTTGGGTAGCAGGAATTGATGTGGTACAGACATCTGATATAATTGTGTTGTACGCATGTCTGTATTCTGCAGTGTTTCGATGGGCCGAGTAGACTGACTGAGACATATCTTCGGGCTAGAAAAAGGTGGCAACCATAGCCATGATCGACCCACTGCTGGATGAAGGCCACCTCTTAGGCGTCGCTCTATCGCATGATCTTGCGATGAAAAATAATCCAACAAAACACCATCTCCACGGCGGACGCGTCCTCTTAAGGCGCGTTCCATTCCTTCGCTGCCGCTCCGTCTCTATTATTTACCACGAGCCTTTTGCCCGTCCCGGGACGGGTGTATATTCATGTAAATATGAAATATTCCATAGAAAAATTGTTCAGCTCATGATTATTAATGAGCGGGGGGGGGGGGTGCCCCATGTGGAGTGACGTCACCCGCTAATGTTTATTAATGAGGGGAGGGGTGCGGCATGTGGAGTGCGCGGGCATGAATATTAATGAAGGGGGGGGGGGGGCTCTTTGGCAGTGACGTCACGTACGAATGCAGCAGTGCTGCGTATATTTGTTTTTTACCGTCACTTTCTGTAAAGAAACATCATATTTGAAGCGACTTTGCGTAATAAATTATTTAATTCAGCTCGACCTTCCTCTGCGTAAGTGTAATAATCCACCCACTCATGAATATTAATGAGGGGGGTGGGCCTCATGTGGGTGGGGTGACGTCACGCGCGGGACACATTCTTGGATCATTATAGGGGGAGTATTGGCCATCAAAAACCTTCCGGGCGACGTGTTTGCCCAAGTCGACTAACCTACCTTTAAGGTTTGAATTATGCCATTAACTTCTGAATTATTCAAACAAAATGTATTAATGAATGAGAGAGTCTAATTCCGTCACATGAATAGAGTACAATATTTGAGTCACCAGCTAAAAGAAACCTACAGAGTGACATTGTGGGCTCAGGCTGGTGATTGATTGAGTTGTGGTGGGGTGTTGGGACGGTGGTGGTTGTGATGGGTGGTAGTGATCGGCTGGGGTGTTGGGACGGTGGTGGTTGTGATGGGTGGTGGGAATATCTGACTATGACAGAGCACACCAAACGCAAACGGCAAAGCCACGTCATTTAATCACCCAGCAATGTACACCTTTCATTCAGACAAGCATACACCGAGTCATTAAAAGCCCATTTCAAAATACATTCGGTAGAAATGGCCAGGTGTAGGGTTACAAGACAAACATATATATGCAATGTACAATGACGCTTAAACAAATTACAAAATATATTACACAAAGCATTGTGGGTCAATTAAGATGTCAATACAATGATAAACGCCAACGTAACTGTGCATTACACATAGGATATTACAGATATACATTATTTACAAAACCAAATATAGTACACGGCACACATCTGCTATGAAACAAACACGCACATTTAGAATTTACCTTTTGCATAGAATCTGTTACTTTAATCCAAAGTCTAAACGAAAGCTCTAAAGGCACCGAGGAAAGTCCTGCAGTGTTAATGCGGTGGCAACGCTAATACTTGACAAATGCATCACAGGAGAGCGAGCATTCGACAGACTTGAAAAGCTATTTACTCGCGACAGGACTTTAGCGACGCATGCTACGGGATCATTCAACACTATCGACATTTCCAAAGCGTATGCTCTTTCTCTCTCATCCTCGTGCTGTCAGACAGAGGTACATTCATCTTGACACCATTGCCCGTATTGTATGGTTTGTGCGCTTGTGTAAATGTTGATAATTTACAATGATCCCTATGGTGTAATGTCTAAATGTACAGCATGGGAAGGAATACCCACCACGAACGTTGCATACCCTCAAGGTATGTTGTGTCACTGCCAAGCAAGAAAATAAGGAGACGCTTTCACTTTTGGTAAATTGAGGCCGCATACATTACAGTGCCAACGAGAGGCAAAGAGTGAAATGCAGTTGCACTAGGAAACTCGGTTTACCCCCCCCCCCCCACATAGTTCCTAAATGTATTTCACCACGATATAAATTCCCTTAAATGTCAGCCGACGAAGATTCTAATTGGTTGGAGAGGTCGAAAGCTGACATTCGCCATAAAATGCATTAACAAATATTTAAATTGTCATTGAATATATATGTACAACCAAATTGATGCATTTTAAATGGTAAACGACGTAGTCCCTCCATACACCTAGTTATACACATAAAATAGTCAATGTGATTGATGACTTAATACCAGTGCACAATATGCATGTGTAGTCTCATAAGAACTCTCGCTTTTAGGCAAGGGTGCTATACTTTTAATGCAATGTTGCAGCAGACTAGCAGAGGGTCGATTTGGGTGCGAGTACTGCAGAATTAGCTATGTCCATACATTGAGACGTAATGAGGCTTTCCTGGGTAATACACTCAACACGATAGAGTTGTGTTTTTACTATGAACAGCCTATGCCATATACTGGCAAATGTGTTCATGATGAAGTTTACCATCATCAAAGAGTGCCTTTGCTGCATTGCTAAGAACCAAGCAGAGTGACTCCCTTCATCAAGTGATCCATGAACTGCAATGAATTAAGAACCCAGACTGGACATAAACAGGAAATTACTCAAGACTCAACTCTTGGCGTAAGTTCAGGGCAACCACTAGCTTAGTGCCCCATTTAAACGTCTCCAAATCAAACGGACAGTGTGTTATCAGGAACAAATGATAAAGTTCCACGTTTTTAGTTCTGCACGAAAAATAGCAGTGATCAACCAGGATGTATGAATGCGAACAAGCGAATGCTAAATGTAATAAAACACCACGTTGTATTAATGTCGCTATGCATGCTGCTGCCGTGCAGCTACATAGCCTCAAATGTCGGTACTACATACCTACTTTTCAGAGGTAGGGCAGAACGACGCATTAAAATCTATATTTACATAAGCTGTATCTCACGTGTGTAGGTGAAATATGATTATCAATACTTTGCAGCTGTGAAATATGTTTTTCACATCAGAACCAATCCACCAAATAGTAAGCACGTGAGAAGTGAGGCCTGCGTGAAAGCTGGGCTTACATTCACCAAGCTAAGGAGGTTGCTACGCATATGTTGACCAGTTTCTAGTAATTGTCGTCATTAATGTATTCGTGATTGGTATTTTTGTCGGTGCATTTATGCACTGTTGACACAACCCTTACGTATTAAAACATTTTACTTGCAACAGGCAGAGCAGCTTCTGATGGCTCTCATTACGACCGCGTTAATACGAACGCACGTGTCACCATCGTGGACAAAGCCCCGTTTATTTTTTGTTTATCCTACTAAATATAACATGACGTCCTTGACAGTGGTCGAGAACTTACGCCTGCCAATATTTGTCCTGTGTTTATACAAGCCAGATCATCTCGGCTTCTCCGTGAAAAGGAAAACAGAACGTTGGAAAGATCACATATTCCCATGAACTGGGAGGATTATTTAAAAAAAAGCTGTCAATGGGATGTGCAAGCGCATATGGGCCATGATTTTTACTGCATGAGGTTTCAAATTACTGCTGACAATTTGCAGACGCATTTTTGTTAATCGATGTTTTTTTAGTCGATACCACATTTTTTCACAAATTGTATGTTGTCCTTGTACACGCATGCTCTTTGTCGAGAGTGAATCAACGTTCTCTGCTATTTTGGATACAGGACTTTGATATGTATAATGTCCAGCTCTCAATCACTATACGCGGTGCTAACAAGAACACGTCACTCGGTAAATATTAGCTAAATATGTAAACGTAGTCGGACGTAACATAATTAAATGCAACTCGAATGTGGTTTTTGGTCGGCTACCGGCCAGACCTGTTACACCTGAGAACCAGGTTTCATTGCTGGTAGGATTGTGGGTTTCAAGCCCCAGATATCACCAGAACTTGCATGCATCAACCACCTCTGCCAACTGCAACATGCTTAGACAACAATAATTATGCTCCGAAGACTATTGGTTTTCTCTTTAAGATGTTACTCTTAATCAAGTATGAGAAAACCACAACTCAGAAGCTGTTTAATTTACAGTAGGGGTAAAGCAAAGTCCCGAAATTATGTTGAAATCCACTGCTTTAGATAAGGTTCAGGCGGCTTGGGTAAATGACGGGCTGATATAGACATCTTTAAATCCTCCACGAAAAATGTGTGCTTTTATCAAGTCCCTTTTAGTACACAATTCCATTCCCATGGTAACTGCTTATGGGTATAACATAAATAATGACGAACAACAAACATATTTAAGGATGGGTATTCTTGGGTGTTTCCAGCACACTCAGAATGACACTTGCTTTGTTTTCCCAAACAGCCATCAGTATAAGCACTGCGAAAAGCAAAGTCAACAGTAACCCACACACACACCGGTAAACACTGCATGGTCACCAGACAGCATCTACACGTGGCATGGCGTTGTCGGGATTGGTTCACCCATGAAGACCTATGAAGACCTATAACAAAATGACATCCTAAACTTCAATTATTTGATTGAAGAAATGTGACCAAATACTTTTAATTTATAAATAGAATACTTAAACGGATATTAGTAATCACCCATTTGATAAACAAATGAGAATGGTGGCTTAAATGAAAGCATAATAATCTCAATATGTATTGTTCATAAGATATATATTTAAATAGGTTTTACTAATATGCTTTTAATGGTTCAAGCTGCCATTTAACACATTTGAATACACAATTAGTAACTATATAGTACAATGTGGAAGTTTAGGTCATAACTGAAGGAAACAATACGTTCAGGATCTCAAACAAATGTGTCTAATTGAAATGGGACCACCACAGGTTATTATCATTTAGTTTTTCAAGTAAACGTGTACTTCATTAGCGAACAGGCCCAGCTAAACCGGTGGATCTGCAGGTCTCGATCGCTGCTGCGCTCCGCACGTTTGAAATTAACAATTCGTAAGTTGCACAAATTAACAATTCGTAAGTTGCACAAATTTATCTCAGTTGTCGCGGCTTTCTGTCCGTCAAAAGTCAAGGATTTGAAAATGAATTAATCTAAAAGTATGAATTAACTGTATGAACCAATGAATTCAGAACGTTGTAATACATGCTGATATAAACCAAATATATTGTTTTGAAGATTTACTCGCAATTCTTTTAATATTCCACAGAATTTGGCTGCTATACAAATAAAAAACTGTATTGTCATGATATTAATTTAACTACTTTAGACATACATAATTTATCAGTTATACAGATTAAGGATTCTTTTCATTTGCGTGGAGTTCCAGGTTGATTTATATTTAAGTCCACGTGGATTTAAATTTGGTCTATCAAGCCAGCACATCACGACAAACATATGCAAAATGATGTAATGTTTCAGAATTTTTTCTACTGATAATAGCTCCTCGCCTGTCAACAAAAGCCCCTAAATGAATTACTGGCAGCTACGAGACCTCATGTCAATTTGTGACAACTGACTCGATGCCCAGAATTCTGAACATGCGCCTAATCGGCGGTTATTGAACCCACTGTGAAATAATCAAACTCGTTTCCAACACTGCATTTACAACGGTTCAGCATTCTCATGGAATAAATGATCCTCAGTTCACCCAGTACCCATTCAGTGGACACATTAATTTTCACCCAGTCCCTTTTGTTGTCGATCATCTTCTTTGGTGGTAAAAAGTAACTGCCATGCTAAATCACTCATCAATACAACTGCCAGCTATTATTGATTTCTCCTCTGTTTAAATATAATATATATAACTTGAGATTAATCTAATTGTATTTCATTGTACCATTACCTTATTTTTTTACGTAATTTTGTAAAATGTTCTACCTAATAATATTTATATTCTAAAATTTACAATGAACTTAGGGAATAAAAATGTTTAAATGTATATTATTAAACTAATATCGTCATGTGTGAATTTGTAAATTGATGACCAAATCCTTTATTCATGCCAATTTTTTTTATAGCCATGCCTTCAACTTACTGCATTGAAAACATGTGACAAGACATGGTATCATTGACTTAATAAATATTAACTTGTGGCAGTTTAGCTCAATTTGGAAAGGTCCCTTAATATATATTGTTTACAAATTCCTGAATTCTCAATGAAATGGGACTACATGGAACAAAACGTGTGGCCATTTACCTATTGATCAGCAAACCACATACGATCAAGAAAACGTAAGCGCATAACAGAGACAAACTAACATATATATAGACGCAAATGACTATAAACAGATTTGAAAGAATCCAACCGTTTGCACGCACTTACACACAAACCCCAGCACAAAGACACCAACTAACATGCAACACGAGTGAGCATGCGTAAATACATTGAATGTATTTCAACGTGTGTACACATGCAAGCCTATGATGTGCACGCACGCTTGAGAGCACACAAGAAAGCCTGAATATCACAATGTGTCAGAGATCTATTAACAAATCTTGGTTCACACATTTGAGTGGCTTGATTATCCCTGGCGTGGTGGGATTTAAATGATGACCATCTATCCTATCTATAGGCTCAACATACAATGAATGCGCTGCCAATTTGGGCTTATTTCACATTTAACTAAATTGTTAAAGAGGTGCTTTTTTCATTAGGACTTATTTTAACAAGTCATCCTTTAAAATGTAGGTTATGCAATTTAAATTATTTGCTAAAATATTTACATTAAACACAGGCACTCTAGATCAACGCAGATGGGTGCATCACATTTGCACTTCATGGGAATAAAATTATCAAATGACATAAATATTCTTTAGGGAATTACCAAAGTGTCCCTCTGTTATAAAGTATGCCATAAATTACAACAGAGGAATTAGCTGTGTCATATCCCAAATCATAAACTGGAAAATGTCAACTGCTCCTCGCTTAACTAGTTACTTACGGCTCTCAATGAAAAGCGTAACAAGTCTTAAATGTCAACACTTTCTGCATATTCTGCATCAGGACCATCACACCCTAGCAATCTGCCTCTCATAACCACGAGGCTATCTAACCTTCATGCATAGTTCAGGTTTGGCCATGAAAACTCAAGCGGAACTGTCAAAAGATGCAAACACTCCACGGTTGTCATTGCAATGCGTGAGTTCGCCAACCATGGTGGCGGCATATTAATCCATGCCCGTGGCTCCACAGGTTGCATTGCTCTGTGGTCAGCACGATCGCGGTGTTGATAGGTTTAAGCGGTCACCCCTCACCCATTCCATTGCCTCAACCTGGATTTGGACTCAAATATACAACCAGCATGTGACGTAAACGTCGGATGAGTCCACATTACGCCATCCGAACAAAATTACTTAAGCTCCCTTTTGTTGACTGCAACTGTAAATGAAGTTTTTTTACAAGCTGAAGTATTGTATAGATTTTGTAAAAAAATCAACTGAACCCAATAACAAAATTTAAATGATTACTATAAAACGTGCTTCATGGAAAGGAATTACTGTTAAGCTGACATAATTATGGCAGTAGACACTGACGTGTAAAACGGGTTCCCTTGCCATTTCCAAAGTACAAAATGTCCAAAAATGCTATTGTTAACGTACAACCCTCCGGTGTGCAATTCTGCGGGTTGCCATCAAACAGGAGATGTTTGCAAAAGCTTCAAGGGGTGGCTCATGGTGCCCCTGCAATCGTGGGGTCATGTCATTGCATTTGACTGCACGCTCTGCCATCCCTTGCCTCCCACTGTGTGAATCTTCGTACCGAGGTGTGGGGAAATGCTTAACTTCTTGCTAGAGATTAGCGTGCAAGTTAAAATGACCTATACATTATGTCCCTGCAGTCCAGTTTACCCAAATATTGTGCAGTAAAAGCTGCTTAAAAATATATATCTACAGTGCAACTACTTCCACCATTGAATTGACAAGCATTATGACGGGTTCCAACGGCCAAACCAAGATCGCACCATGCCCTTGTTAACTTGTTAAAGGCACCACAGGGAGGCGACAGCTGGAGACCGGGTGGAACGACAGTGTAAAGCATTTTGATTGGGTTAGAATGCATAATGCTTTGTCATAATGCACGGCATGACACTAGCTGGGTCTTATGATGAGAACACACTTCAAGCTGAACACTTTAGTTATAGTTCATTAGTCTTAATATACCACATTCCCAGGGATTGTACACACTTTCCAGGAACGTGCATGGCAATGTTAAAGGTAAAAGAGCATTTGCTTAACCATAGTGACACTATACTTTTCTTAAAATCACCACATTTGTTTTCACGTAACCAAGTCAACAAACACCTATGGATAATGACAAATGACAGGTGGTCATGGGCAAAACGGTGTGCCCATTGTAGTTAAAATGCCATATCAAGTAGAAATGCATCTGCACGCACATGTACTGCTGTAATCCATGAGAGATTAAGTTCAGGTGGATAAAATCTAGTCAAACTTCTCCCTCGATTTGAACAAAAGCAAAGCACAGCTTACAGCGTTAATGTTGCCGAGGCAAATCAGTGATGGAAAAGAATCCTCTGATAGACATCCACGTCCATATTGAATAACATCTTTAAAAGTGTATTTATAAGCAGTGTAATGAATATATATCATGTCACTCGTACATTTTCCAAACATTTCGCACCAATGTGCCAATGGAGAGGTCTACAACATGGTAATATACTACATTGTAAAGTCTCCATGTTTACATTAGACGGATGCCAGGTGCTCTGGCTAAGGGGCACTGGTGGTTATAGCACTTGACTCACAACAGAAAGACTGCAAGTTCAAATCTCAGTTGGGGCTTGCTGCACCCTTCAATTCTCCGACGTCAAAAAAAAGAGAGAATCACTAAAGAGTCGAGTGGTCGCCCCACGGAGACTTGAAGCTTGCAATAGGATAAAGGAATTTTCACGAATGACTCAGTTGTGCAATTTGAGTGCCATCCCATTGCTCGTTTGAAAAAAAGAGAACAATTAACAGACAAGAGTGCCATTTTTCTTGATATATGAATATCTTTAAAAGAAAAAAACATCCATCCAACATGTTGTTGACAAGAACCAACAGGTCAATTTTCCACTGGCCATATCAAATTTGCTTTTGGTTCTATTTCGTTGCATCAACAGCTGGTTACACCACAATCACATGCTCCGGTGTGACCACAATATTACGGTGACAATGGTTTGACAGAGGGAAGAGGACAACCCCTGAAGTGAACACAGAATATAGTAGAGCAATATTAGGTATCTCAATTCCCTTTCTTTAGTGCAAGTTAATGAAAATAGTGATATTAAGCGGGTTCCAATGCGTCGGTCCAAAATATGCAATGCAGAAAAAAAGTATTATACACACCGCTAAAGCAGTCTAATTATAATGAACGCACGTGGTTAAATAGAACACGGCTTCAATGAAAATAAAAAGAAAATAAACAATCCTTCCTCCTCTTCTTTTAATCTGGAAACCTGCCAAACTAAAGTATATAATACACGCATCACACCAAGCCAGCTGGGCTGCGACAGCCAGGGCACTGTGTGCAATGTCGAAAATGCTGGAAAAGCTCTCAATTCAAAAGCTTAACAAATGAAAATTGTAAAAACAATAAAGTGTGAGCGGACACAATTTGTCAATTCCAATATGTGAAGAGCCACACAGTGGATAATATATGCCTGTGGTTAATACACAAAACAGAAGGGTTCGACCGTCAATGAGTTTGTGATACACGGTACAAAATAACGCAAAACTAAATAATGCTGTTTGAAGATAAAAAGTACGGATGCATTGTATACTTTGACCCAACAAGCATGCTCGATGCCCTAAACATCGGCACTAAAAAAAAGAAAAAGTCTTTTTTGTGAAAGCTATGAACACAAAAGTCAATAAAATAGTACCCACACATATGATGTTTACTCTATGTTCAGCATGCCCAAAATGATAGTCGGGTTGAAACATTTCCATTCAGAATACAGCTTCATTAGCAGCTTCTCTCTTTGAAAAAAAAACGTAGACTGCGATAGTCATCCCAGAAATGCCAAAGAAAAAAAAGTTGTGAAATATTTTCCAGCAACACTGCCAACTTTTACATTGGGATTAGTTTTTTATTTGTGGAGCTTGTTTGAAGCACAATACCCCGGACTTAGCAGACAGGGGCATCCTCCCGAACGGACGAACTCCGGGCCAAGACACGTAGGGCATCGCGTGCGGGGCCAGCCGGCGCTCGGCCAATCCACCCGTCCTCCGTGTTGAGCTTGGACATTGAAACGGTTGCGAGGGCAGCCCCCCCTCCCCCACCCCCGACAATCAGAGTGCAGACTTGCGGATGGGCGTCTCGCGGCCTTCCGTCGGGCTGCTCTGCCGCCCCTCGTGGATGACGATGCGAAAGTGGTCCTGCAGCAGCATGCGCGGCTGCTGGCACTGCGAGTTCTGAGGCGCGTTGTCCGCGGGCCGCTCGGGCGGCGCGGCGGCGGCGGCCCCCCCCTCCGCCGCGTCGCCCTGCGGCTGGGGAAGAGGGCAGCCCTCGATGAGCTCGGGCTCAGCGGGTCGGCGGGCCGAGGCGCCGTTCACCTAGACGCACACATGCACGCGCGCGCGCAGGAACGCAGTCTCATTTGAGTTGACGTGGTGGGCATTGTCGCCTCAGAGGTCAGAGTGCGGAGCTGGCACCGCAGAGATCACCCATAATCAACGTTTTTGGGTTTAGATCGCGTTATTTATAAATGTGTCGTAACCCTCCACCACCCGACACGGCCAATCAGTAAAAATGTGTCACGTTGACAAAGACAAATAGTTCACTGCTTTAGCCCACCGGTGTGTTGAAGCCACAACATTTAACACACCGGTGGGCTAAAGCAGTGAACTATTTGTCTTTGTCAACGTGACACATTTTTACTGATTGGCCGTGTCGGGTGGTGGAGGGTTACGACACATTTATAAATAACGCGATCTAAACCCAAAAACGTTGATTATGAATAACATTGGTCGCGAAAGCCTACGTGTTAAACTGAGAGATCACTCAGTTCGCGTCGCATGCAGTCGCCCGCGATTAATCCGGCGTGTCGAGCGTCGCGAGTCGATGGTCTTGGCCCCGTCATCAACGACTGTACAAAAAAAACCCACCAGGTTAAATTTGGTTTTGCATTTAACTTGGATGAATTCCAGCTCTGAGAATTAAATATCGGTTTGACTGACATGCAACAATGATTCTGCTCATGCAGTGCTTCACTCTAATGTGGAGGCCAGATGTCACCTGAAGGGATCTCATAGGTAGCTTTGTAAAATCTGTTTCCATCGGTCACTCTAAGTCAAGGGGATGCACTGCTCTATTAAAGAACCGAATGCGTACTTTGTTTCATGACATGACACAGAGCACAGTTGGGATAAAAATTGGGATGCTCTATTTTTATTTGTCAATAAAATCTACATTTTCTTTGAGCTGAAGATTAAAAAATATCCTATTTACTGTACTTTTTGCAATTTCTATATGTGCGCTGAACCATTCAGGATCTGATTAAATGCTTGTGCAGAGTAACAAATGTTGCCAATCCCAACTGTAATACTTACCCGAGTGCTAACGATTAGACCACAGTATATTGGGCATCAGCGGACGTTCACAGGCTGGGGAGGAGGGAGGGGAGCTCGCCAACTTAACTCCGCCGCCCGGACAAAGAAATGCGAATGCACCTGCGTTCCCACGTGCTGCACCAAGTCGTACTCCAAGTGCGGCAGCCCAAGCGCAGACGCCCGCGACGAGTGCGGTTCCTGCGTCGGCGCCACGGCGCCCGCGGCCGCCCCCTCCTGAGCCAGGCGGCCGTGCGGCCGACAAGAGAGCAGACCGCCGGCTGCCACTGCTGCCGTGGCGCCAGCCGCAGGGTGTCCGGCGGCCAAGTCGACGCACAGCGCCGCGCGGCTCATCGCCGTCGCCCCGCCACCACTACCGCCGCCCGCGGCGCCGATTCGGCCGCGGCTGCCGCCGTGGCACGAGTGCAGGTCGGGCATGGCCGGGTCGCTGTACTTGGCGGGCGTCGCGGCGCCACCTTCCGCCGACGCGAGCGACACGTGCACGACGCTACTGGAGAAGTCGTAGAGGTCGGGGCAGCCCGACAGCTCCTGCTTGTCCTTGCCTTTTGCGGACGGCGCCGAGCTACGCTTCTTGCCCCGCTCGGGCTTGGCGGCCGGCGGTGCCGCCGCCGCCGCCGCTGCCACCGAGCTGCTGCTGCTGCTGTTGCTGCACGACGGCGCGGGTGGGCGGGCGTCGGGCCAGTCCATCTCCGACAGAGACATCCTGCTGAGCGTGGACGCTGCCATCGCAATGTCCGGCACCGATGGCTCGCTCACGCCGCTCTCCGAACCCTGGTGGGCGGACGCCCGGTGGCAACGCATGCACGCATACGCCGTGAAACACGGGACTGCAACAAGCCCGCACTGCTACCATCACCGCCCCCTTGTGTTAACCCCTCGTGTTGTTTTATGTGAGGATGTGTTATGTCGCCTCAGCAACTGATGTCTAGCCTGCATGATGCTGGCAATATGTTTGTAGACCCCTTCATTACATGTCCTCGCCTTCCATACTCCAAGTAACTTATTTCACGTATGTGCATAAATATATTTAGGCTCACTCGTCTCGTCATGAAACTGCAATGAAAAAGCACCAGGGGAGGCAGCCATCACATCTGCATCACTGAGGGGGACGTGTCTAACACGCCCCCCTCAGTGAGGACACGCCCCCTCCGTGAGGCCACGCCCCCTCAGTGAGGCCACGCCCCCCTCCGTGTGTGAATCTGGCTCTGACACTAGCCAACTTGTCTTGTGACAATGGCACAATGATCTAACTCGGGGGTCGGCAACCTACGGCTCCGGGGCTGCATGCCGCTCTTTAAAGACTGCTTCGTGATGTCATTTATTACGGACCACCGTCTTGTATTGACATACATTGCGGCTTTGGCAAAATCGAGTTGTTTTACCGAATTCGAAAAAAATTACTCTTCTTGATATTTTGGTTGCCGACCCCTGGTCTAACTTAAATACGTGATTGCAAGATCGCTGGCATTTCACAGCATACGGTGCACTGACACTTCACCACAGATATTACCGGAAGCTGAAATTTGAACCGTTGACTCAAGGCTTCGCGATTGAACGAGCTAATATCCAAACCACGAGACCGTAGTCGTGACAGTCAAGCGAGGCAAGCGTGCCGGGCCCACACCTCGGTGTCCACGCCGTCGTAGTAGCCGCCGCAGGAGACGCCGTCCGGGTAGGCCTGCTGCGACGCCCTCATCTTGCCGGCGCCGCCGTATGCGTGCGAGCGACTGCGGCCCCGCGAGCCGTGCACCGAGGGCGCCTGCGTGCCGCGCGACAGCGGCGGCTGGTACGGGGGCGGGGGCGGCGGGAAGGGCAGCCCCAGGCGCAGGCTTGAGAGCGCCAGCGCGTCTGCCACGTCGCCGGTGTACAGCGACTCGGAGCTCGGAGCGCTGCGGATCTGCCGCCTCGGTCCGTGCTGCTGCTGCTGATGCGGCAGGATATACTGCGCGTGGATTGTCTGGTGGTGTCCGAACGCGCCCCACATGCTCTCGGGCTCGTCGAACGCAGAGTCCGGGAAGTACTTGTATGGGTTCTGTCGAGAAAAAACATGGAATGCTTTTCAACATTGTAAAATGTTTGACTTAGATTAAAAAAAAATTGGTAAACTATATAGAGTTGAGTGTTGCACATTACATTTTTACGCAAGAATTCTGTATTTTTGACACGTGACACGTGGAAATTGTTTTGATGAAAATTATCAGCTGTGGTTTAAGAATTGTTTTCGAAAAGGAACATATGGAAAAAAAATCACACTCTCTCTCTCTTTCATGATGCACGTTTGCTCCCAATACAGTCGCCTCGCTTAGCGCGACCCCGTAGAATGCCTTTCCACAAAATACAGCAAAAGAGAAAATGAGCAGAGAGAAAGTCGCACACAGCCTTGAGAAGTATGTATGTTGAAATTATTTCGCACAGTACGTAGCCAACCACGCTAATTAGAGAAGTCAGAAAGGTTGGGGGGGGGGAGAGGGGAGAGTGAGGTGGCTACCTGCAGGAGGTCGATGGCCGAGTCGGGCAAGCCGAACTCACGCAGCACACGCAGCTGCACGTGGCGGTTGATGGCGGGGATGTCGCCACACGGGAGGGACAGCGCTTGCCGCACCACGGGCCCGGCTCTCGCTTCGGCCACGCGCCTCAGCATCTCCCGCACCACAGCTTGGGACGGCACTGTAGGAAACACACGCACAACACAGGCACACACAACAGTCCTTTAATGGAATGCGCATGTGATATGAAACAATTATTAGTATCGCTGAAGAGAATATCAGTACTCGCACCACCGCTGGCAAAAATGTATGCACTAGAGGGAGCCCCCCTCTCGTAAAAAAAATTGCCCATTGTTTGAACTGCCACGCCAGGATTTCCAACTCGCTACCTGTGAATTTGCAGGGCCTGTGTGCTATCCATGACATCACGGCAGCATCTCACCCCAATTTGGTTACATACGTCACTAGATTCCACAGTGAATGATGCTTACAAGGCGGGGGTTGGCTCGCCCAACTCGCGTCCAACGCGAATTCACTCACCTGGCACCTGATTGTCGACGGCAGCCAGGAGACCAGAGGGGCTCGGCTGCCTTGGGCTGGCGTGGGCCATGGAGGCACGGGGCTGATGGTGGCCCATGCCCCCGCCGTCCAGCATGTAGAGCGTGTCCGGCACGCTGGACACGCGGGTCCAACGCAGACGCTCCTTGTCCGTCTGAACGTCCGTCATCTCCTCCAGCACCGCCTGAAGTGAGATGATGAAAACCCACATTCTGTACACAGTTTTCAGCGGTATGTTTTGGGGTTGTACCAGGTGTTCATTCTATACAGCTACACGTGCCGAAACCTATGCAGTATTCAATGAATAATGTCCACCCAAAATGTGGCTGGCTAGTCAATATTATGCCAGTGTCAGAATACGTGTTGATTCTGAGATTCTGGGTGTGAATCTCAGCCGTTGACTTTAGGACACATCCAGACCTTCAAATGTTGTATGTTTGATGGTCTCTGACTTAATTATAACTTGGATGACAAAAAAATATTTAAATGTATAAGTTTGCACTTGATATGCTTAAGACGAGTTATGGAGACTTATAACTTACACAACAATTCAATACAGCTAAATGACCCCTTTAATTCCTCAAGGAAAGTTAGTTTTCGGATATACGTGGTAAGGCAAGGGTATTCCTTGCAAATATTAATGTGCAGGTGGTAATAGAATGCATTATTCGGAGTCCAACTGGGATATGATATAATACACACCACTGTGGTACAATTGGGATATAATTGCCTTCGCAATGAAAATATCTCAAACCTTGCAAACTTAATAACAAAGTTACACTTGAAAAGAACAGTTTCTCCAATACTCTTTAATACTTTCTCACCTGCGTCATGTGGATTATTATCAGCCTTGTAAAATGTATTCTTAATAGAGCCTAAGCTCACTTCCTCCTCTCATTTTCCAGCAATGTAAAACTTTTTATCACAGCTTTATTGTAACATCCCAAGTCTCCACTAATACCTGAGACCATCAACTACCTAAAACATCTTTCACACTTTCATTATGGCCCATCCTGATCACCGCATCACTCTCCGCAACAGCCTCCATTAAAGCCTAATCTCCAATTAATTTAAATTGTTATAGATGATACATGTTGCTGCTTGGTTCCTTACTTTAATTAAAATGAATTGCACTCATCCTTTAGTTCCGTTACAGGCTTTCAATTTATCTTCACTGAGTTATTGCCTTTTAAAGAATTTACTCCGAAAATGTGGGAATTGATTGTCATCACCTCGCGTTGTTAAGAAGCCTGTTGCTATGCCATGTGCTCTGCTGCCACCCACAATACCTACCCACCGGCCTGGGGCCAATTCTAATTACAAAAGAATTGTCAAATGAAAATACAATTACGTTGTGATTTCATTTCATTACGAAGTACACAATTACAATTGTAATTTACGCCAGGTCTGAGTCGAACATTGTGGAGAGGCACTTGGTTTAATTTATTATATGCCCTTCAAACTAACATTTTCAAGTAAACCATAAACATGTTCCAGAAATATGTGTCCACAAATTATTTTCCAATTAAACAAAACAAACTAAATAGAACCTACGCAGTATATCATATAACCTGCTGAATTTAAAATCCCATTTAAGTATATTTATATCCACTAAATAAGAATGTATAGTAGCTAATTTGAGCTAATTGTGAATGTCGTGATGTTTTTTAAAAATTATTCTTAGCAAGTCCAATCATTACTTAATTAAAAAGACTTGCAAGCACTAATATTCAATACGATCCTCAAAATAGTTTCTTACATTCATGCAGTTAATACTGAACATTTACTCCAGCTAATATCCTACTATACTTTACTGACATTTCTCAAGTGGCCAAATTATAAACACTGCGCAGTGGATTAAATGCGTCAGAAACTCGCTCACCTTGCTTCGCTTTACAAACACCTGTCTCTTTCGGTAAGTGTGTAAGATGCAGCACAAATGTGACAGATTAGGAACAAGAATGTAAATTTAATCACCGAGCTTGTAGTCTATACAAACCAAGAGCCAAAGCATGAATTTCCCGTTCAATCAAAGTAATTTAATTGTGCCATCTCATGCACGATTCTTGTCGCTTCAGGGGAACAGGAATCACCTTGGCCTCCTCCACGTACGGAGTGAAGAGACGCGGTTTGACGGCGATGCCCCCACCCCGACCTCTCATCCACGCGTTCCCTTTCCTCTCGTCCACGGAGGGTAGCATGTCCGACGGCGGCCGGCTGATGAGCCCACGCTTCAGCTGCCACGGTGAAAAGGTTTACTTCAACAGGATGGTCTTGGGAGTACAGGTATGGAGCTTATTACACGAACAAAAGACATCGGCTACTTGTTCAAATTTAAGTCGTTGGTGGCGAATGTGCAGCTTCCTGGAACAAGCATCGTTGCAGCACATTAGGTGCGTGTCTGTGTTATGCAGTTTGGCGCTGACAGCGTTCTTACATCCAGGTTATTGGAAGACGGTCCCCCAATGACCCGAGCCATATAATGTGTGACAGGTAAACTACATCTTTAAGTGGTCAGTGGCAGGGGACTCCCCCAGTGGCAGCGGTCCCAATGCGGCTCAAGGTGAACATAGCACCGGCCAGGAAGTGGACATTCATCTGCCAATCAGTGGAGACTTTGCCATGCTTTTTTTCAAACACTGTCACAGGGTTTTTGAATAGTAAACTAGTTTAAAGTCCACTGTTAACAGGCAGCACATATATTATGGTTAATACATCTGCAGTATGGCCACTGGGACTGGGCCCGAACTGCGAATCTATGCAACAAGGAGGTGGTGTCGCACGTTCACCACTTGTTAAAGAGGTTCGCGGTTTGAAGACGGCCGGCGGCCCAGGTGAATATGTACCGCCTGCTTCACAGTAGATAGAGCCCATGAAGTCATTCAAAACGAATAAGCCATTGCATGCCAGCGTCATGGCCCAAATTTGCCTAATTACCTGCAAATTACTCGATATGGATTACGCATAGACAACATCGCCCCCTACTGCCAAACGACTGTAGACTGTGTCCGCAAAACATAATGGCTACGTGATAGCATCACGCCATAATAATGCAGCAAATACTAAACATACGAATTGATTAGTGTTATTATTATTAAGCGGAAAACGCGCTCCCGCTGTCACCACCCACGCCAGTGAGGTGCGTAGAGGCTGGAACACGCGTACTCACCGCGCCACCCAGTACGTCACAGTTCGGTGGGAGCATGAGGTCGACTCGCACGTGAGGCAGCAGCGGAGAGAGAATGTCGCGCAGCTCCTCAGAGTCCAGGTCCTTTCGCTTGACCCCCTTCTTGCTCACGCTGTGCGCCGTACTGCTCACCACGTTCGGCTCTGTGTGCACACAAATGAACAGTGAAACTAAACTACGCTAAACTATGTTTTATTTTACTCGATAAGACCCTCTGAATATATAGCTCTTTTTCAGTAGTGACCCCGGCTATCACAAATGATAGCCCAATGAAGTGTCTTATGTGGACATTTATAGCAGCCAAACACTCTAAACGCATGTTGATTCTAAATGTGGAGGGGAAAAAGCGGAGGACCCAGAGAAAAATCCACGTGACCACAGGGAGAGAGACACGCAAACTCCAAATATATAAGCATCAGCATCAAGATCGAACCCACGTCCTCCTGTATACCAGTCGAGGCAGTTAATATCTCACCACCAGTGCCCAGTGGTATCCAGTAGGCCCCCAATTTAAGACCCCATCAGATTCAATACAAACCCTGACTTCTTTAACCGTCTTTAAATTTAAACAAAACATTTTGTACAATTAGGCCTTCTTTGATATACATTGAAAGACATTCGATCTTGAATCAATATTATATGGAAAAATAACGTGTGTTTTGAATACGCCGTTTCGGATTAAACTCTTTTGATAAAACTCACCTCTATCTTCCATCCTCTTAATCAGCTGGTGCTCCCCCCACTTGATGACAGCCTTCAACACGTCCTGCTCACATGCCTACAGCGACATCAACACAGGACAACAAATACAGCCACTCAGCAATCAAGAGAATCAACTTTAGCTGCGTTCATTATTCTCATGATATGAAGCTAACCGGACAGTTTGAATATAATTGGAAGGACCAAAAAAAAATGAAGAAAAAGTGCTTAAACGTCATTCTTAATGGCTTTTAGTAAGTGTCAAATTTGATTGACTAGCAGTGGTTGTGCCATTTAACTATGGTAGGAAATGTGCTGTGGCGATTGCAAATGCACTACCCATCATAAATGTGGTATAACAATGCAATATAACTCGCAATTAAGAAACACCTACATGAGACCACGTCTCAAGCCAGGATGCAATAAAAGAAGGCTACACACAACTTGGGAGATGGCGAAAGAGGAGGGAGTTTTTATTTCAGACATTGAGCACAGCAGCAAATAAGGAGTAACCTCTTAGCATGCTATGGCTGAAAAGCTCTTCTTAACAAAAGGCCTCGGTTACTGGCGCACAGGGTAAGTGCGGCAGATTAGGAGAGGCAATGAGGGGGGGGGTTAATGCGAAAATGCATTAATTGCTTGGGTCAACAGGGAGAGATGAGCGGGGAGAGGCAGATGGGAGTGAATGCATGCATTGCTTGGGCCAAGTCCACAGCACCATGTTATAAGGAAGTTACTGGAGCTATGCACTTTTAAATCTAGATTAAAATCTGATTTAATTAGAACTGCTTTATGTATTTAGTTTGTTGTCCTTCCCGCGCACCTCCTATTATCACGGTTGGCTACATATGGTGCGAAAGTTCAACAAACATACAGAAAAGACACGTGTGCTGTAACATCACCCATCAACCAATCTGCGATGTGAGATAAAAAAAAATTGCCAATAGTTACGAAACAAACATAATGGTTCTAAACCATGATTACATTAAATTTTCTTCAGACATTGTTCAAAAAACACCACATGTACACTAAACACACCAAGCACATCCGTGCCTGTTCTCGTGCACAGCACAGGTGAACACTACCACAGACGGCCACAGGGGGCAGGCTCAGGCTGAGCCTGGAAGTGTGAAGCAAGAGGTGGTGGGGGAGAAACGGCCATGCAGTTTAAAGATGGGACTCGGCATGAGCATGTGGTCTGGGCCTGCTTACAATCGGTTGTAGAATTACAGCATCAACTACGGATGCATTGGTGTAGTCACTGCTGACCTGGCTGAGCCCATAATATTCTGCATATTGGATTCAAACAGGAAATTCAAGGACAATGTTTTGCTGTTGAATATAAACATTCTCATGGGCCACACGCAGACGCTCACGGGGCATTTGCTTTTCCGGCCACACGAAATATTCCCGGTCGACTGCTGACGAACAAAGCGCAGACGAACCTGCAGAAAGTCGGACTGCAGGGCGCTCAGCAGGTAGTCCTGGCTGAGGTCACACAACATGGGCGAGGCGGCGACACGTCCAAACTCCTCGCACAGGTAATGCAGGGCGCGCCGGTGAACCCAGGGCGAGCCGTGTGGCTGGGCACTCCAGCCCAGGATTGGGATGAGCACCTCCAGACTCAGACTGTCAGCGATGATGTCCTCGCAGCCTGGAAATAAGTTGAGGGAGTGGGGGGAGGTGGAGCATAGGAGTGCAGTTGAGTTAGCACGAGCACATTTCATTAAAGAACAGAGACCATGGCTTGATTTTAAAAGTGTACATTTTGGCTTCAAATTCATTCCTGTTTTCATAGTTTCAATGACACCACGGGCATCTTTCATCTCTTTTGCCTGTAATACTGCACCACTAATTGAGGTACCACATTTATTGTGCAGAAAACTGTACTAAAAAAGGCTTCCAAAAAAATGTGGCTAAGCTGATTTTCCTCTGTTCCAGCAAGGGAGCACTTGGATTTTCTGTACAATGGGCTCCATAAAGAAAATTAACTGATTTGTAGGTCAGAGGAAGTGGCATCACGCATGTGCTATGCATTGTGTTCCCTTAACGTGCATACAAAATTACATATACGTGTGCCACATCTATGTTCATACATTGTTTGTCGCCATAAAGTTACCCTAATGTTTTATTACAGGTTTATAGATGCATTTGTTTTAATGTTTCCAATCTGGATTGCATATAGAAATGAGATTACAGACATGAGAAGTCACAGCACGTACACACATTAAAATGGAATTTTTTTCAGAGACAGATTTAGGCACCTTTAGGAATATTATGATAAAATATTAATGCTCGAAATGCACAAAGCCAATTTCAAGTGCAGGATAGCAAAAGGGAAAAGAAAAAATGAAACTCATTGGGGTTTCACCTCATTAAAATGAAGGACAAAGCATGTTAAGTTGTGAGTGCACTTGACAGAATTGTTGCAGATTCCACATTATCCTACAATCGCTCGATTAACCCACACTATTTCAATTTACACAACACGTCATGTTTACAGCACACGTAGTGTCATAAAGACAAATCACTGAAAACAAACACGAAACCTTTACAGGATGATAGCTGCAACATTAAACAAATGGCTTTGTTTCTCTGTGTCGCTAGCAAACGTACAACATCTCTGGTAATTCAAGAGCAGTCGAGGGGAAAACAGATGATAATTGAACACAAAGAGGATGAACCTAAAGGGAAAATGCTGTTAGGACGATTGCCAAATTCTCAGCAAATTAATTACTTCTTTTCACCAAGACACTAAAGTGTTGTCAGTTAAATAATTTTGCTATCAGGATTTGAATGGCTTAATTCCAAACAGGGGAAAGGAGTGGTGAAGTAGTGGTTCCTGCACTGCGCTATGAACCCAGCAACCTGAGTTTGACTCCCAGGCCATGGCTAACACCCCAGTCGAGTGGTGATATCTGACCTGGACTTATTCTTTCATCAAGCTATACTGTATAGCAAGACAATCGTGGAGCGGTCTTCATCCAGCATGAGATTGACAAAGAGCTATAGTCTTCATTATTACAAGGATACATATTTGAGAGTTTATATTTTTATGCTATCAATGTATTTCATGCATTCAAAACACTTTTGAACAGGTTTCCTTTCCCAAAATGCATCAAATTTAAAAGTAAATTGTAGGGCAACGATTACTTTTAACTTACTTAATGCATTTTCTTCTTAATTAGTTCATTTATTTATATCTGGGCCATGCCCACACATTTTCAAAGCCTTCACATAGATCACATTATTTATTACAACCAGAAACATTTTCAGTCAAATTTGACCTAGAAAAAGAGACCAATTTCTCTCAGACCAGGTTGCTGGCATGTGTTCAAGCAGCCACGACGGAATGTGGGAGTGCACAGCACTTTGAGTTTCAGCTGTGCTCAAATACAACGCCCGTGGGAACTGCCACTGTGATTACAGTAAATTACCACCAAAAAGTACAAACAATGACCCTCATACAAACTAATAAGAGACCTCATTTCGGCAACTGGTGAGGCACAGACCTCTCCATTGTGGCCGACATAAACCCTCTTAGCTCACAAGTCTCTCTTGCGAAGACAATAATGAGACATGACTTTCTCATCGACGTTTGCAATTTGCTCATAAGTGTCTCTTTATCCGAGCCCTCTTCACAAGGCAACCTTTGGTTGTTTAGTGCATCGACCTCCGAGAGCCATCTGGTTTGAGGCTGCGGGCAATGCCGCCTAAGACCATCAGCAATTATTTTCTCTTGCCAGTTGAAGAGTCCCTTGAGTGTATCATTAGGCCTCAGTCAACCACGTACAGAACACAGACACACATTTCTGTAAATGCATCTTTTTGTTTTGGATTTCCAAAACGTGCAGCATCAAGGGGGCAATCATATTGTTTTACTTTTAGATGTTTTGATTATTTGGTTCAGCAGCAAGGACCCAATAAGCTGCTGGGCTCCATTTCAAGGGTGTTCAGTGATGGTACAGATGTTACACAGTACAGATTTTCGCTACAATCATCTTAGTTACTTACTTGAATGTTAATAATTGAGCTGCTTACAATGCTAAAGAAGTCAATGAATCTCCATGTTCATGCAACAATGGGAAAATGCCCATCAACTTTGGTGACTGAGCCAGTGGTATAAACGCCACATTGCTATGGTAGGACCTCATCTATTCATAGAACAAGCAATGTTGACTTCCCTCTTGGCTGATATCATAGTGCATATACATACACAGACACATACACACCGACATGAATTAATTACTTTTTTAAGCAGGACATTAGAGCAGAATGTCAAGGCTCAGACATGTCAACGTTGAAAAGCCTCAGAATTATAAGAGTATTAAGACAGTAGTACAACAGGCCCTTCCATGCCTGTCAGCATAACAGCCTTGTAATTTATTGACGGTACAAACTGCCAGACAGATAATGAACGCCATGTAATTGGCTGCTTCAAAAGAGCTGTAGGGGACTATTTCTAATCAAAGGCCAAATTCACTAAAGGTCATTCGACATGCCGTTTGTCTGTTTAATATTTCAGTTGTCTATGTAATCAATTAACCACTGTTATTAATGGCCACCGACAAAAATCACAACTGTACACAAGTCCAGCCACTATTTTCCGTTCCTTATTGATACTAACCTCACCACTGCAATAGGTGTCCAGTTTAAAATGTGTTGATATAAGGTAAACCAAGAGCAAGTACAACGACTAAATGCCACTAGAGTTCAGAGGTCAAGTCGACAATGTAAGGGAAACTATTGCTAAACTTAATGGGCTATTTCAGAGCATCGATCTGCGTATCAACTCACAACATGACATTTATGTTGGTATCCACACAATGTCCAGCAATGACACAGAAAATAAATAATGTTCGACGGGAAAATCCTTAACTGAAACAATGGACAATCTGAAACCATTCTAAAATGCTTCCCATCTTGCTGATTGGACATGACAATGTATGACTGAGAAAACGAAGCAATGATCGCTATTGATCAATACTATTACACAGCTAATAAGCTTGGATGAAATGCATACTCCAAGTCTCTTCACTTCAATTATTCAGTCGCATTTCCTGTTTTTGTGATAAACGCATTGTGTGTTATTGTGGTGCATTACAGGTTAAAGCTTACACCAATGTTTTTGTTTATCGGGCCTAAGTGCTTTCAAGCACTAGTATTATCTAAAGTGCCTGTATAACATTGTTACGGAAAGCCAGTAAGTCAAAGGACGAACACATGTTTTGTGTATATGTGGAGACAAAAAACAGAGCTCTGCTCATGTATTTATTAAATCGCTTGGATGACATGTTTACACATTAATTATAATGAATGTGTAAACATAAGTAACAATAATTATTCAACTCACACAGAAATCGATGCGCCCCCTAGTGGCAGGTGCAGTCTCACATGCAGGGTGCGAATTGCGGGAACACATATTTCACCTTCGCAAAACCTCACCTCTTGCAATGTGAGTTTAGTTTGTCACCTTTGTCAACTTGGATTGACAAAGAGGCTCTACCATTGAACACACACGATCAGAATCTAGGGGAGATTCGAATTATTATCATTCAGGCTGTCAAAAACCAAGGCATAAATACAGAAATAGAAATAATCTAAACTATTTTGATACAGAAGGTGCAGCTACACTCAGATTGCATTTAGTAAGTAACAAAATACAAATCAAAAGAGCCGGGCAAGGAGATTAACTTTCGTGAAGGCTATTAATAGTGACATAATAAAGGCGCATAAACAAATTGTGACAATGTTAACCATCTTAGATTTGCCGATGACAGTCTTCATAACCAACTGCAGGGAATTATTTAATGTCTTAATAAAGAAGGCCGCTAGGTTGGGCTAAAGATGAATAGGTGACACAATATCAGATACATTCAAGACCACTGAATGGAAAAAACTTACTGTAAAACAACATGTTATGTCTATCTTGGGCAATTATTGAAGGTGGACGAGGGGACCACGTGATGAAGGCGAGAAAGCATTTGTTGTGCTATTGGCAAACTGAATGCTACGACGAGATGGCAACATATCAGCATGGCTGAAGAGGAACGTTCTATATTAGTGCATATTTCGTACTAAAATAAAAGTCTAAAAAAATTGCCAATATTCTAATCTCACTTGTGGAGGAAACACAGTTAACCAACATATTCAGTCAAAATAGATAAGCAAAAGCAACGAAGAGGGAAAAAGCCTTTCATAAACCCAGATGAAAATCAGTTGGGGAATTGGTTTTAGGAACTCGTGTGGTTACAATGACACGAATAAAAACCCAAACATCACTCTGCAATGAGCTCCGGTGCAAGTGGCAAATCTACAGCTGAGTGGCACCTGCAATTTTAATCTAAGGATAAAGAATTGTTGGGCAAAAAAAACGAAGAAAAAATTCACACACAAAATGTTTTTTTTACGTATTTTTAAATTGCAGAAGCTAAGTGGCATTTGGGAAATAATGGCAATGTCAAAGTATGAAGTCAGCACGCACAAAATCCTGGTTCACCGCCCGAAGGGACATGAGCTAAAAATAATAACTAAGAGTTCATGTTTGAGCACTAGCAAGGGCCTTATCCCAGTCACCAAATAATTTAAGGAAAAAATAAACTGGTGCCAAATTGGTGTTTATCTTTTTAAAGGGCCATGTATACCCCCCAAAGA